GGGTGGGTCCACATGAAGCCACGTCATTCATGTTTGGAGATATAAACTTTGATGGTTCAGCACAGCATTGTACGTAGGAACTGCTTCATCCTTTCAACATCGGAACCAAATATTGACCTCAAAGTCAGCTTTCCTAGTGAATTTTCTGTGATTACTACCACCATAGATAGGGGATTCCCGCTTGAGGAGAAATTAGGTGGGTATACGCAGCCTGTATCAGCCCGCAGTATTTGGTTTGAAGAACAATCTTGCAACATTTTGGCTGAGATGTTGGACGAAAAGGTTTTAATGATATTATTGCTCAAAAAATCACTATTAAAAGCACAACCCATTCGATGTGCTTATGCCGTTCTTGGAAAGGACAATCCTGTTCGTAGGTTATAGGTACTGATTGGTTGCTACCTTCCCTCCCCTCGCTCGAGGGCAGTTTTTGGAGAAAAAGCTGGAGAAATCAGCGGAAAACTGCTTGAGAACAGTGATAGTAGGATACGTAAGGAAGGGGGTGGGTGGGGTAGAGTAGTACTTACACACCCCCTGTTTGAAGAAATTCTGTTCTTCTAGAAAACTTGAGTTCTCCATTAGAGATGTCTTTATTGGAACACAGCTCCTGCCAGGTTTTTTTTAATTGTGGCAAAATTTCTCATTCAACTTATTTCTATAGTAGTAGGCGCATGGAAGACGTCGGTTTTCTCGACATCGACCCACAGAGACATAATAAGAACATCAAGCAAGAAACGGCACTTCCTCAGCTGAGATGAGATGCAGTTGTGATATAGGCATAAACAGGGAATATTGAATTCCAGGGAGATAATACCACGATGAAACACACTCAAAATCCCTGGGATGAGGTAGGCGTGGCTGCGTACTTCAACTGTCCGTGGAGGTGGTCATGCTTTTGGAGAGACATTTCCATTTTGGCACAATCGGTGCTGCGTCCTGTTCAACACAGAAGAAATGGCAGTTGTTTCTAAAATATCCCCCTTGCAACCCATTCTATGCTCTGCTCAAAGGCCACCCCTACTTCGCCTCAGGGATAAGGAGTGCAGCAACGGTCAGATGTAACGGCATCGTTCCGTTCTTGAGATGCATCACACTTTCTTCTTACGTTCAGAATTCCATTCAGAATCCATTCCCTTTATCATCTATTTTCAAATTTTTCCACACATAATGGCATTTGAGTGCGTATTTGGACTATACGATGATTAGCAAGGGCATCCGATGTCCAAAGCTCTACTTTTGGCCGGGTTTCACCCAGTACCCAACGGGCGAGGATCCCGATGCGGGATTTGAATAACTAATTCCTCGAGTGCGCTGTGCCACCTTCCACAGGGCCACCTTGGCTGGGCTTCAAAAGTCAGTTCAGTTGGTTTTCAGTGGTTAAATGTGCACTTTGTGACATTCAATTGGAATCAAGGAACTGGTGCATGCACTTTTCACGAACGTTTCGGAAACTATCACACAGTGTCTGTAAAAATTGTAAACACGATTCCGGTAAAAATCATCACAACATTCTCCAACGATTTTTTAGAGAGAGAGAGCCCCGAAAAGCGCTCTCTAAACTCCATACTCTTAGTTTCCGTTCGATCGGATCACTATGCAGGAATTCGGCGACGTCACTAACGGTTGTAACTCTGAGCTGTCAGTTTTCTTCAGAGTAGTTACCAGGTTTGACGAACCACACTATGACTACTGCAATGAAGATTGCCTATCACTGTTGCAAAGAAGGTTTACCAGAGCTTTTTAGGGGTACTCGACGGATTGGAACCGACTCACTGGAAATAGAAAGCGACGAGGCCAAGGTCGTTTACTTGCAGATGGAATTGATCGGGGTATTTAGTCGTTCAGACTCCGTGAATGTTGACCCATTACGTCACTAATGTCCTCGTTTTGATGTTATGTGGGTTTCCTGTTTTCTGGGACGTGGGTGGATCACAACGTACAACGACGTGGGTGTTAGTGTGGTCTACGACAAAGTTCCCATGAATTCACACGAATCCGGTTAGCGCTATGACCACCACATGCCGCCAAAAGCTTTCGTCCAACCAGCCATCGCACTTTATGATGATGGCTTATATTAATAGAGTGATGATGCAGATTGTGGTGGTCAGAGAACCGGAAAAAACGAATTCGTTCAATTTCTTACCTATTTGGCGGCCACCTGAGATTAGCCCGATTGCTGCCGCTCTCTCCGATTGCGGAAACCACCTGCAATAGTGGGATCGTCAAAGGATTTGTGAAATGCGCACAGCTATTTTTATGCTAGTCGTCGTGTCCCAAAAAAACATCACTTGGCCCTAAATATCTAATCCTTCCTAAAAAAAGTTCTTTCCAACCTAGTGATCAGTGAATTACACGCTGGCATCAGGCATGCATCGGAGGCTCCCACGGCAATCCTTGCAATGACAGCAAACCAGAAAGATTCAGCTGCAAATAAGGGTAGCACAAGGTTGCCCACACAACACAGAAGTAGAGCAACGAAGACCTGAACACAAAAAAGCGAACAACTAATTCGATACTTTGAAGACATTTTCTTATGAAAGGTCAGCCTACCATCCATTTACCATTAAGGCGATCTGCCCACATGCCGGTGACTAATGTCAGCAGTGAGCCAGCATTCTGTGCAGCAAGCACAAGTCCCTCCTGAAAACTGTTGTGATTGAAGCTTGAAGGACTTTGAAGAACAAAGTGACAGTGAAAATGGAAAATTCACAAGCGCAAAACATTCTACAGTATGTGGGATGAGCTTGGGGAAAGGAATATAACGTTGGCAGTACTAGCTAGCTTGGAATCCATCCCGACACGGCTTGAAAATGTTTTTCTCTAAGTTATCCGTAGTGAGCTATGCATGGCCTCAAATGCCTGCGAGCCACACTCGAGCCGATGCATGTTTTGTCCGGCGTAACCCAAAGTAATAAAAGGCGTCCGGCGATAGCGAGCCGCATATGGGGGGGGGGTCAAGAATGAATTTGCAGATGAATGCCGACTTCTCAGCAGGAAAAGTGTGGAGGAATCTTCCCAAGTGTTCAGTTAGTGGCGGGTCACCTCCATTATTGGACGAGTATGTGGCAAGACGAGACGCACGGCACGCAGGAGAGAACACCCAAAACAAAACCCCTCGCTGACAGCCACTAAGCCTCATTGCACGAGTCCTCCTGACTAGTTCTGTGCAATCGCATACTCACAAATCGTTTCTTCTCATTTTTTTATTCTGAATACCGTCTGGTTCTTTTACAAGTAAAAGCACGGTAAGCGATGTACAACGAGCTTTCGCACCAATGCAGTTGCATCCCTGCTGGATTTGCAGCGCTAAAAGCATCTTAGTGTGCGAAGTAGACTTATATGTATTGCTTACTTGCTTTCAAAAAAGGTATGCAGAAAAGCAGAACTACTCGTGAGCTAGCAAAAGAGTCGAGCGAGAGATTTTCTTCGTCAAATTTTTCCTACGATGCTGCAGGCAACAAAACACATACGCGTGATCCACCGTGTAAACCGTTGTCTTGCAGGCTGAAAACAACACAACAGGATTCGTCTGTGGCTACTTTACTTTGCTCTTTCGGGCGACGAAAGTGGTACAATCTATGCGAGTGCGGACTAGGACGCCGAATGCACAGAGGCATTCCGCGAATCACTTGATTGCGGGAACTGTCTTCCAAGCGCGATTAGATTTACTTTACGAGACCATGGTTTTTTATCCCACACTGTCGAGGGATCATGTGTGGCTGCTACCTGGTCACCTTATCCTGCGGGAGATTCCACCTATGAGCTTATCGCGGGATGTCTTTTGAGATGGGTGAAACTTTTGTGGGCTACAGTTTGCGAGAGTGAGCTCATAGTCCCAAGTTAGAACAAACGTTTTTGCTTATTTTTCAAAGTAGATGCAAAATGAGATTTTTTGCAGATTAAACTTTTCATCCACTTATTTTTGAAGCGATCACAGCAAATATTATACTACCATACCCTTTAGTAAAATACCTGCTCAGTTTTCCATTTCAGGTCTCCACCGTAACCATGATGAGGACAGGAGGTCATACAAATCAGAGCCACTGCAAGGTTTGAACTGGAGATGGAGAGGGTGATGAAGCAACAGCACAACATGGCAGCTAACATCAACCGCATTGAAGGAAAGAGCACAGAGGGCATCGCCAGATCTCCTGAATAAGAACCCGAAAATCCGAGGTTTCTCGAGAATTTCCTCCTATAAAGCGTAAGCCACAGCAATTTACAGGAAATTGATGGAACTGACCTGCCTCGCTGGCTGCATACAACGAAGCAGTTGTCGACGGCAAAGGACGATCATCGTTGAGATCTTAAAAGAATGAGGATTTACGTACATAGTATAATGTTTAGTTTGTTCAGCCTCGAGTTATGAAAACTGTCGTTCCACCGTCGATTTCAGAAATTCGTTCGGAACTTCCGGTGATGAACTGGTAAGTGATTGAATACTCTATCAAAAAGCGTTCCTTTTTCACGGGTAATTCTCATCAGAACATCTCCGTCAGTGTGTAAAGTAAATCAAACCCAAGGTGTGACCGCGACAGGACTGCGACCGACTGACGTGGTCTCCCTTATATAACAACGAAAGTTTAACCTGAGCGGATTGATCTAATGAAGTAGTTATATTAGATTGGTTGAAGTTTTGCCACGGCTTCAAAATTTGAATTTTTTTCTAATCAAATACACCATTGTTATTGCTGGGTCGCAGCCAGCGTTTGAGAACCTTATGGATGCCACCGCTTTGCAACGCATCCAAGCACCATGTAAAGGGATGACAGATTTTGACATGAGCTCAGGTCGTGGACAGGGCACATTGGTGGTTGGGATCTTAGTCGAGTCCGTACTACTCCCCCACTTTTTTTGGAAGTTGGTACGCCTACCCCCCCCCTCCTCTCTCGCCGGCCCTTGTCCCTCTCATACGAATCGACGTCGAGCGAGGAGGGTGAATATGCAATGTGAAATAGGAGAAGCCGCGAGAGAATATTCGACCCCCCCCTTTAAGACAACTTACTGCCATTTTTCCAAATTATACGCGAAACTTCGCCTACTTTTCCCAAAAAATTTTTCTCCACAAAATTTTGAGGGTGTCGAGGGGGAGAGTATGAATAATACGCATTAACTAGATATCACGAAAAGCCACCATCACTCTAGAAAGGCCAGAAGTAATACGCCGCCCCCTCCACAATGAGCAAAGTACTGCATCTTCCACCCTTTTACTAATCATCCATTGATAGAGAAAAATTCACCATCAAAATAATCTTTTTCTTTCAGCCCTTATGATACGAGCCTCCCCCCTGTTGAGGATTCCCCAACAACAATTTGCCTTGGTCGTGGAGTTTCCCTCGTCCATATAACGAATTAGTTCGGAATAGCAATGAGTCGAAAGGAGCGAGTCTGAGGTACGCCATTGCAAAGGGAGAGCCATCCACGTCTATTGCATAAGGTTCGACCCAGTTTTATTTGGACGGTGTGGACTGCGCTGTTATATTTGAGGCAGACCGTGCGAATAAATGCCTCAGAAACGCACAACTCATGTTCAGATCTCTCTCGCTGTCTTGAGTAGGAATTGACCGTGAAAGCAGTTTACTCATCCAGTCTTGTCACGAGCCGCAGCACCTCCATCTGAGCACATCGACATCCAGCCTTCACTTAGTCTGATTGTCCGACAATCGAGTGCTCGTCCTTATGCGGCTCCTTGGTTTTGGCCTCTGCAGCCTGTTGGAGTCAGGGTGGTAGAAGAGTGAAGCTTGAGGGGGTTCAAGCTTCGGTGCTGACGGCACAGAACACAAATGTTGTTCATATTGCAGAGCAGGAACAAGTAGGAGGCAAGTGACTGGTATTAGTAGAAAGAGTATCATTTTGGGTATTACTGCCCACATTATCTACTGCACCTATGGGCTGACTGACTTGAAAAATATGTCAGAAAATACGTCCACCCTATGTTTCACAGTACTACCCCACTACTGCATGAGTTTGGCCCTATAGTAAAAGAAAAAAAGAGGAGGTTTCTGCAGCAATAATGTGTCTTCTCACTACAGATGTACCAGGACGATTCAGTGCATTTTGTAAAGACCAGATAGCAAAGAAAATTTGAAGAAACAACTGGAGGCTTAAATGTAATGAATTGATCCCTTAAAATTGTTATTCCTAATACTTATATGTATGTACTCAAATGCTGCTGTTGCTGCATGATGCAACATTGCGTTATCCACTAGGAACCATGGTTGTGCTAAGATAAAAGGACATGGCATGGTTCAAAGACGGAGATGGTGAAGTGGCAAGCAACAGGGCTACCACGAGCGCGGGACCAGGAGTCCTCATTTCCCTGACCAGCTTCCGCCCACGTCAACCAAACCCGTTACCACTCCAGGGACGGTACATCGGTAGTTTTGACGCCGGCGCCTGTGGCGCGGGCGCCAGGTGTTTTTTTTTGCCAAACGGATGTGATGTTCATGTTCAGAAGGTCACTAGGGTATGAATAATACGATAGTGCTGAGCGTTTGCAACTGTAGCATGTACTGTAGCGTTTACTGTAACGTGCGTTCAAGGGCAGCACCCATGCTCAAGCGCAGCATCACGCTTTGCTGCGCTTGAACACGCTTAAGTCTGAACGCTGCCTTGGGCTGTATTCATAACAATGAAAAATCGGAGAATTCGCAGGAGTTAATACGTATAAATTGGATTCCGCCAACTGATTGATGAGCTGCTGTGAGTGAATCAATCGATACGAATCTGATTTTTTGCGCGGATTTCCCATTATGCCAAAAAGTTATGGATGCGGCCTTACTCATCGTGACATCATACAATAAATCTAATTGTTTCAGAGAGTTTCAGCCGTCAGCCAGACAAACTTCTCGAAAACAGTATGATGAATATGGGTGGACACAATCGCTATTGAAACAGCAATAAAATGGACAACATTCAATATA